GGCATTGTGGCACAGCAGAATAGCTTGATAATCCTTCAGAGAGGCCAGAAAGTACTAGATTTGAAGAGTTAAGGAACTGAAGAGCTGCCAGAAGGAAGGAATAAATCACACCCCTGTTCATTTTGGCTGTTGTTCATTTGCCTTGAGGAAGAGCAAGTAAATTTACTCTCTGTAAGAGGATATTGCCATCTTTACATTCCTGAATATTACTGAATGTAATTTATAGATTTTATCAGGAATAGAAATAAATCTCTGTTCTATGAATTGAATAATCATATAAATGGAAAATTGATTTATATTATTTTGGGTCTGAGGTAGAAAAAATAATATTTTCAGGAATCATTAACCTGAGACAAGATCATGAGTGGTCCATTTTAGTGTGTCAGGTACACTTCTGCAGTGTGCAGAACTGCCTCTTCAAAAGATCTGTTTCCGTATTACCCAGATATCTAGGAACTACTGAGTACTGAGTATACTGTCCGGAAAGGGATGGAGAAAAGCCCCTAGATACACCTACATCTTCTGTCTCTCCAGCTGGCTTTAAAAAAAGCCCACCTGCCAATTAGTTTAAGAAGGTGGATCACAACGATGCCTCCTTCCTTGCTGCTCTCCTGGGCTGCTTGTCCTGATAGTGACACCCAGTCATTTGCTGACTGCAAAGGGTTGTTTTTATTGTTGCTCCACTGTCTAATTTTGCATGTGGCAACACAGTGAACTTACCAGTGAGCACTGCCAAGTTGCAGGTTTGATGTTATCTTGTTTAGAAAAACAGGGAAACAATTCTTATCTTTACAGTGTGCAATAATTAAATTAGGCATTCGTGTCTGGCATGATGGGGTCAGGACAGTGATAAGTAGAACTACATTCAGGAGTTGCTGGGTTGGACATAATTTCTGTTTATAGGATGTGTGTGGTTACCTTCTGGCACAAATGTTGCCTGGATAAGTCCCTGAGGATTTTCTCCTAGGAACTGTCCTTCGGAAGCACCTGTAGTGTTGTCTTAGAGCTTGTAGCTTAACTTTCCTTGCTTGCCACACAGCTGATGCCTCAATACCTCCCTCTTTCCCAGCTAGTTCCTATGTTTTATTGCCTTCAACAGCAGAACTTTGCCTATTAGAAAGAAAAGGATGTGTGCCCCGTAAGAACATTAATTGAGCTGGGGTTATTGATGGTTAGGGTCAGCTTTGAATTCACACAGAAAGTAGCAGAACGATCTGCTGACACCTCATGTGTTCTTGTGATCATGACTGACTAAGTGACACAATTTAGATGGGCCATTAACTTAGTATCTTAATTAGAAAACTGTTCTAAGGATTAAAGGTATCCTCTCTGGGTAAAACATTAACTGGCTGATATGATACAAATGGACTGAACTTTTCCTAGCACACACAAAAGAGGAAAAAAAAAAAAATTTGCTTGGATCTGAATCTACAGCCATCACAACTCCACTGGTGTCTCTGCAGTCACTCCAAATTCCCATATTGCAAGACTGGACAGATTTCTAAGGCAGTCCAGCTTCCACCTCTTGTTTGTTTTATTTCATTTTGTTACACATTTTTCTTCTCCTTGTTATGAGCTGTTTCTGAGCTTACAGGACATGAAAGCAGAAAGGAAAAAGCTGTATTACAAGTTGTTTTCATTAATAATGGCTCTCATCAGTAGATACCCAGTACCTTACAAAAGAGATCAGCTTCACAGTCCCCATAATAAGAGTACTGGAGGTCCAGCAGTCTCTCTGTTCAGGAACACGGCTTTAGTGTTAAGCACTCTGCACTGATATGCCACCTGACTAAAACCAGACAACAGTTCTTTTTAGTTTTTATGTTCTCCCAAAGATGTACAGTAGGCTAAAAGGTAGGACAATGTGTAGCAGCATTAACTTCTGCCACTGTAAATGTTTGCAACACCATTTCTACACTTTCAGTCATGGAAGTGAATGCCAACCTTCATGTTGTCATTCTGCCCACTTGAAAACACATTACTGAACTGTATAACATATTAAATATTAAAACATGTAAATAGTCTTCAGATGTTGAAAGGTGAAAATAAGGTTATAAAAGTCTTATGGTGAGGAGGTGTGTCTGTTGTTCGAATGTCTAGTTTTTAAATACTCGGGCATTATGATCAGGCTCCGTCTGTTTGGATGCTAGTATGGGTAGGCTGACAGTTCTGTGCCTCAGCACTCAAAGAGTTTTAATACTAAACTACGTTATATTTTTATTTAAATGAACAAATCAGTATTTCTGTTCATATATATTAAAAATAGAACTTTACAGAAGAAAATAGTATTTTTGTTTATCACAAAAAATAGTGTAATCTCACAAAAATCTCACAAAAAAATAAAATCTCATCAAGAAAATTAAAATTCCACAAACATAGTTATTTTGATCCAAACAATACTGATCAGAACAGTATTCAATCAAAGCTGTTTTGATCCAAACAAAACCTGATCAGAATCATATATGGAAACTATTGTTTAAGTTTGAACAAACTGTATTTGGAGTTTGTGTTTGCAATTGGACAGTGCAAGAGAAGTATTCCTAGGTAGTGCTGGTCGTAATTTTTTGAAATGAGAACAAGTCAATAGAACAGTATTTAACGAAGATAAGAGCTTATATCTCTGGCACAGTGAGATAGCAATCAGTGTGATTTCAGCAAGAACATATCAGTTCATATCAGTTCTACTATTGGAGTCTTTATTAGTTAATAATAGATAACAGTTGGTAGTTGAAAGTTCTTAGCACAGCTTAAAGTCACATCCAGGTAATGTGACCTTTGTTAACTGGCTTTAATTAGAACTTGAATTTTATAAGACAAAGTCAAGATAAAAGAAAATTAAGTACTTATATTTCAATATCTTCTATCTATCTTTTCTACCACACAGAGTTCTATAACCTTCTCCATTCTCTCCCATCAAACATGTGGTTTTACAAAGGGAGAAGAAACATTGTGAAATAATAAAATTAGAAGTCACCTGCTACACATCTACTTCTGCTGATAATTACACGTTATAATTGTAAATCAATACTTTGATATTTCTCCATTTCAGTGTAAAAAGGGAAAATTACACAGTTAGCAAGAAAATTAATCTCTCCATACCTTATTAAACTGTTTATCTGTCATTAGCATGATGAAACCAAAACCAAAAAAGGTGTTTTACTGCCAAATGAAGTATTTTCCACTGACAGCAGGAAAAATGAACTTTGCAAGGCTACCTTATTTAAGTTGTACAAAATATGGGACAAAACTTTGAGGCACAGACACCTAAAATTAGCTACTAAAACACATCCAGGTTGATTTCAAAAGCTGTTGGATATCTGCAGCTCCTTGTTCTTCAATTCAAATAACTTTTAACAAGATTTCCAATTACCTCATCTTGGCTGAACCTTAAACTACATGAACAGTCATGGTGAAGAAGGGCAAATCTTTGAATTAATCTTTTTTATTTGCTTGCTTGCTCTATGGGGATCTTCTTAGTACTGCTACAGATTAGACCACTCACAGGTCAGATAATTAAAACTGCAGCAGTAAGAGCTGTGGCCATGTAAATGGATAAGGATACACTGAAGAGAGCTTATTAAAGCACAGCAGAACATCATGGACAGAGAAAATGTCCCCATGGCTTAGTGGAAATAGAGTTAGACAGCTTTGCTTTTTTGCCAGATCCCTTTCAGTGTCTAACAGTGCTGAAAAATCCTTTACTTGGCTTTGTGTATACAAGTAAGTTTACATCTCAATACACACACTCTCTCACATACATACATACATATACATGTGCATACAGTGTATGTATATGTTTATGTGTATGTATATCTGCTTATGTATATGTACGTGGACTTGGATACCCTTCATCTCCTACAGCCTTCTGGTTCAATCCTGCTGTTTATTAATATTACTAATTCCAACAAAGACCATATATTTTATTTTTTAATCTAGTTTATTGTTTTGTTATCACCTGCCTCTGTCAGAGCTTTCCAAATAGAGACAAAGACATCTCTTGATGATCTCCCAAAGTGAAGCTAAGCCATCAAACAGAAAATGGCTTAGGAAGAGAGGAGCAATGTATAACAAGTGTGTCAGAACAGTCTGTAGACAAATCGTTTTTTAAATAAAATAAATATGTATATTTAGAAAAGATCAGTCAGCCACAAGAAGTGATGTTAAAACATTTGGGGAGCAACAGTGATTTAGCTGAAAAAAATCGGATTTTAGGGTAAACTCATATGAAATTGCATAATATATAATTGTGCAAAGAATCTTTTTATCCTTCATGTTCAATGGGGCCTATGATTTGCTCTGCGATCACATGCTTTATATTGAAATAATTCTTTTCCCAGAGGATTTTGAAATTAACAACATTGAACTCAGTTAAGTACCTTATCTAGAAACAAAAGTGTCAAGTTAAAAATCCCCCTTATTTTTAATGATTCATGCCATACTTTCACAGAGTGGATTCAGGTCACATATGGGAGAATATATTATAGTGATTATTTGTGAAAAGATGTTTAATTCAAAGATGTGCCACTCAGTTCCCTCTGAAACAGCTTGTAGATAAAGAAATACAGAACATGACCGTACAGTGATGATATTTTGTTAACTAATAGAACAGCCCTGTTTAAATTTCACAGAATGGAAAGAAAAAGATGACACCCTTCTCTGAAAAGTTTGTCACTCCCAAAGAACCAAATTCAGAACACTGGGTAGAGATTTATTTTTTTTTTCTCTCCCTACTTGCCAAATGGGGCAAGCAGCCCTACGCAGTGTCTAAAATATTATCTGAAATGCTGATGTTTCGTTCTACCCGACTCCTGGGTGCTTCAGATAACTTTATAAGGAACAAACAAATAAGTTACGGGGTTTTTTTTTATTTCTCTTTTGAATCAGTGAAAGAGTTAATTTTAATGAGAATGTGCTAGGGATTAAAGATCGGCTATTATAAATTGTCGATCTATAAACCACTAGCTCGCATTGCACTTTGACCTTATCTTTATATGTCACAGGAAAGAGCTGTTCTTAGCCCAGACAGGAGGGGACAACTCCAGCTGCGGGAGCAGCTGGCTAGAGGACACAGAAACTGTTTATTACATGAGAGATGGATACAATATTTGGTAGAAATAAAGAAGAACATCCAGAGCCCATAAAAGCTGAGGTGCAAGGTAAGTGAAGGGAAATCTCTTCTGATACGTGTGGTGTTGCTTTGCTGCTTGCAAATGAAAAGCGGAACACTTGTTCACCCAAGACGACGCTGAAAAGGGAAACTGAGAAAGCGAGAAGTGAACTTTATTTAAAGGACTGATCTCAGATAATATTTGTGCCCCGATTGTGGTTTTTTTCTCACTTTATGGGCGTTTCTGTGCACTTTTCCAATAGGTCTGTTTGAACAGGAATCACTGGAATTGGTGGTGAGGGGCGAAATCTCGGGATTTAGTCTGGTGACCCCCCCCTTCCCCCCGGTACAGAAAAGTATAATTATTTCTGCTTCAGATAAAATTCTGAAACAAAAATATACAAGGTCCAGATTTTAAAAGCTAATTAAGCTCTTTAGGATGCTGATTGGTACCCAGTGTGATTTACAGACATTCTTAATTCCCACTAAGATGAATTTTCATCTGAAAACCTCACTAGATGACCCTTTGCTCCATGCTTTTCATACTGGAATTGTTCCAGAAATTACACTGAAGTACTGCATCAAGTCCATAGTGCCTTAAAAAGAAGACCCCCTTTTGTTCCCATTTGTCTGTTCCAGTGAAATTATTTCCTTGGCCTGTCCTGGAACTTTTTGAGCATCATTATTCCTGTC